ATATATATATATATATATATATATAATACATATAATATATATAAATATATATTATATATATATAAATTATACTCTGACCTCACAATAACTCTGAAGTATTTTCACTCTTATTTTACAGAGGAGGAAGCAGAGTATCATAAAGTCTGAATATTTGTATTAATGAAAGGTTTTTGCTGCTTAATTTTCAAAGTCAATGAATTCAATATTTTATATTTCCTTTATCTTAGAAAAATACAATGTAAACACTTGTATGTAACTTCCATCTTATTTTTGCCTGTGAATTTATTGTCCTAGAAAATAATTCACCTTGGGGATGTTTATTTTTCTTAAGCTGGGGAGTAGGAGATAGACTGGAAGAGGGAAGAGACAAATTGGAAATGTCCCTTTGAGCAGTAGGGCTTGCCACTGTTCTTTGCTCCTTCCTTGTCCTCTTTTCTGAGGAGAGGGATTGGCCCTGATTCTCTGAAGCAATCTTAGTCTTCTCCATGGAGGAGATGACCTTCTCTGTCTAGCCAGGATGAATGTACTTTCCGGATCTGTGCAAAAGGAAGAGATCAAATTTTCAGCCCCTAGATGTATAACTTTCAGTAACTTGGAAATGGAAGTTGCAGTAAAGTTGGATTGGCTTCCTGGAAGATCACTTCTAATAAATAATTAGATGCTGAATTAAGCGCTCAGCTCCAACAGGTGTTCTTCCCATCATGCTGCAGAGAGTAAGGTAGAAGTAGAGAGAAGCATCCCTTCTATCCCACCTCATATGGGGTTGGGGAGGAGCAGAGGAGAAAACAGAGGAGTTTCCAGATGGGTGCCAGTTTCCTCCACTCTTACTCCATGAAGTAAGGCTGCTTACCTTCTGGAGGCGCAAATAGCTAGGTCTGGGTTATAGGCCGGAGGAACAAGGCAGAGAGCCCTGGGCTGATGATTAGAGCAGGGCAGCAGAAGGGCCCCAGGTCCAGTTGAAAATGGAGGGTCCAGACTTTGGTAGGTTCAGCACCACGGACAGAAAATTTTCTACAGGCTGAAGCTGGCAGGTGGGCTCACAGTTCAGCACTATGCCAGAACCCCACCCCCACCCCACTCCTGTACTGGCTATTCCAGGGAAGAATCTAACCTGGCCCTTGGTTGACTGGACCCCAGCACTTTAAGTTCACAGTAAAACAGCGTAGTTTCCTTCTAAGGCCCTTTTGAATATCTTCACTTAGGTGTCTATTCAGCAGTCACCTGGTTGAGTGGAGTCCGCTTTGGAGGAACTCTTAAGATCTTGCTGATTTGCATATATCCTTATACACTGAGGCATCTCCGTCCTGGTTTTATTATAAATGAATTGTTCCGAGGAAGAAAGAAAAGGACTGAAGGATTGTTTCCAATCTTCTTTTCCTCTTCTTTCCCCCATTGCTAGGGTCTCAATCTGGCAATTTCCCCAAGGAGGCCACAGATGCATGTGGTGGGAGAGGATGAGAACCAGACTCCGGACAGCCAGGGGTTTGTTGGGGCATCCTGTATGGCTTTCCCCAGATAATTTCCTCCATATGCTTGGCTCCTGAATGACCATTCCAGGCTCCTAAGGAGTCTGCATTTTGTGTTAGCATACAGGGCCAGAACCTCTGGGCTGAAGTCCCTGGAGCGCAGGTAAGAAGCTGTGACTGGCGCCTTAGAGACTGCATAAGGGATGGGACCCGGTTTTGAAGAGAAGGGTGAGGGGTAGTGGAGTGAGGACTCATTCTGAAATGAAAGGAGTCCTGGGTCTCTAAGCAGCTTCTAAAAATACCAACTCCCAACGCTGGGGGTGGAGGGGGAGGGGAAAATTGAGCCTGAGAAGAATGAAGATGGAAGGAGGTAGGGGTGTAAGAGCGCTTCTTCAGGGAGATCTGATTTCAAAGACCCTACCTGCATCTAAGAACAGCTGGATGCCACACCTCCTTCTGCTTTCTCAGCGGGCTTCGGTGTCCTGTGGTGTCTGAGCCTCAGCCCCTCCTGATGACCTTTCTTTTTACCGGCAAAGGATCCCAACTCTTCCCAGCCGCTCCTCCTTCTTGCTGTCCAGCAAGTATGTCTGTGAGCAAGGGTGCATAAACACACACATACTAGATGCGCATGCGCGCGCGCGCGCGCGCCCACACACACACACACACACACACACGACACAGGAAGGGAGCTTCCAGGCTAGCTCAGAGGCTTGTAAGTGGCCAGTTGTCTACGATGCCAGCAATTTTCATTATTCATTATCCATTACCCCCAAGGAGGTATGGATTGTAGCAGAGACAGAGATTCACCCAGATATTTTCAGCACAGAGCATGGCACTCAGGGAGTGTTGGTTGAAAGGTAAGGAGCATATACATACACACAAAATGTACACTCAGGCCAGGCAGGTCATGGGGATACTCGACTCATTAATTTTCAAGGGTTCTTCAGGCTGCTTTAGCCACCATAAAGGAGCGGTGTTGGGTCCCCCAAGAAAAGAGCTTTGAAAAGCCACAGGGTGGGTGGAGCTTTCTCTGCTCAAGTTCAGCCCAGATGGTGGCGCTCAATAGCCGCCTCCCTCGTCCTGGAGGGCTCCAGCCCTTCCCACCACCAACGCCTTAAACCCTCAGCTTGCACATAAATGACCTTCACTAGATAGAGGTCGTGTTCCACGTTTCCTTGCAGCTTCCCCAGCGCTGGCTGAACTCCGCGAGGATTGCTCCGCCTCTTTCGCAGACCCCTGGGAGTCCCTGCCGCTGAGCTCCTTCCCAGTCCCCTGGGATGGGCGGAGAGGGAT